GCCCTTCTCCGTGGGGCCGCGGGGAGGGGGGGCGCTCCTCGCCCTGCCGGCACGGGTAGGGTAGGCTCTTCGGGAGGGGTGTTCCCAAGTGATGGGGCGCTGACCCCCAGCAGCGCTGGGGTAGGATGGTGCCCTGGGGTCACCGTGTCCTAGTCCCCCTGCAGCTGCAGGGGATGCTTCCACCGCTGTCCTAGTGGGGGGTGTCTGTGTTGGGTGCCCTTAACTCTGCTTTCTCCTCCTGTGCGTTTGGGCAGTCAGAGGAAGACAAGCAGCTGCAGGATGAGCTGGAGATGCTGGTGGAGCGCCTGGGGGTAAGTCTGTGCTGTGCTCCTCAGCAAGGAGCTGTGGAGGAGTGAAGCAGCAGAGCCCCAGCCAGGACTTAAGTCTGTCTGTCCCTCACTTACGGTTGTTCCCTGTGCAATGGAGGTGGAGGGGGGGGTGAGTGGGGCCCCTCCTTCACTGCTGCAGTCTGTCCTCCAGCCTTGCTGCCTGTCTGGCCTGTGCCCAAGGAACCTCTGCCTGCCTCTTGTTTGGGTGGCTTCTGCCCTTCTGTGCTTTCCCTTCCTAGCACTTGGGCTGAAGGAGGCAGCCCTGGGTGGGGAGGCTGCTCTGCTCAGAGCCACAGCTGTGTTTGAGGAGGGCTGACGGGTTGGTGGTGCAAGAAGCAGCCTCCTGCTCCCTGACAGGCAGCTTTCTTCTGCAGGAGAAAGATACGTCCCTCTACCGCCCAGCCCTGGAGGAGCTGCGGAGGCAGATCCGCTCTTCCACCACCTCCATGACCTCTGTTCCCAAACCCCTCAAGTTCCTACGGCCCCATTATGGCAAGCTGAAGGAGATCTATGAAAACATGGCTCCGGGAGAGAACAAGGTAAAAGCTCTTGGCCCCCCCATCCCACGTGGCTGGGGGAATGATGCTGGGGCAGGTGATTGCAGAGCCCTCTGGACTTGCTCTGGTGGATTATAACTTGCCAGGGCTGTGCCTTTACTGCCTGTGACAGCTTGTGGGTGCGTGGAGGGTGTTGTGTCCCTGGCTGCCCCTGCTTCCTCGTGCCTGGTGTGTGTCTGAGCCCCCGGCACTCTTTCCCCAGCGCTTTGCAGCAGACATCATTTCTGTTCTGGCCATGACCATGAGCGGGGAGCGTGAGTGCCTGAAGTACCGGCTGGTGGGCTCCCAGGAGGAGCTGGCATCATGGGGGCATGAATACGTCAGGTAAGCCTGGGCAGGAGCAGGGCTTGGGGAAGGACAAGGGCTCAGCCAGATTTCCCCAGCGCTTTGACTCTAGCCTGCCTGGGAGATGTCCTATTCAGCTGCCCCTGTCACACTTGCACATGTGTCACCTCATCCTCTCTCCACGGTGATTTGCTAGCTGCAGAGATCTTGCTGCCATTGCCTCTGTAATCTCTGCTCTTAACCCTCTTCCCCCTCTGGGCTTGTCCTCCATAAGCTCTCACAGGATTGTGGGGTCCCCATAAACAATGCACAGCCCTGGCTAACTGGTAGCAGCTGCTCCCCATGCTTGGGGCTGGGTGAAGCTGTGGCAGTGATGTCCCTCTGTCCCTGCAGGCACTTGGCAGGGGAGGTAGCCAAGGAGTGGCAGGAGATCGATGAGGCTGACAAGGCTCAGAGGGACACACTCCTCACCCTGGTCAAGGAAATTGTCCCCTACAACATGGCCCACAATGCAGAGCATGAGGCCTGTGACCTGCTCATGGAGATCGAGCAGATGGACATGCTGGAGAAGTACATCGATGACAACGCCTACTCCAAAGTGTGCCTCTACCTGACCAGGTGAGGGGCTCAGCAGGTGGAGGGGGCCTGCTCCCTGTTGGGCCCAGCTTGCCTGACGTGGCCCTCACCCTCGTGTCTGTCTCCTCCTCAAAGCTGTGTAAGCTATGTCCCAGAGCCTGAGAACTCAGCTCTCCTGCGCTGTGCCCTGGGCATCTTCCGCAAGTTCAGCCGCTACCCTGAAGCCCTGCGCCTGGCTCTGATGCTCAATGATGTGGAGCTCGTGGAGGACATTTTCACTTCTTGCAAAGATGTGTAAGCGGAGACTTGTTCCCCGCCCTCTGGGGCCTTCACCTGTCATGATGGGGCATGGCTCCCCATCTGGGCAGAGTTGGGTTGGATCCTACCACCACCGGAGGTATCTGGGAGTTTGGACTGAGACTCTTGTCCCTGAAATCAAGAAGGGCAAGAGCGGGCCGTCTCTGGGCTGCACTTGTGTGCTTCTGGAGCAGGGCAGGTTGGCTCACTGTTTGGTGAACGTGTGTTTGTGCTGGGACTGGCTGGGGTCTGGGCACTCGTGAAACCTCTCCCCTCTGCACAGAGTTGTCCAGAAGCAGATGGCCTTCATGTTGGGCCGCCACGGGGTCTTCCTGGAGCTGAATGAGGATGTGGAGGAGTACGAGGACCTGACTGAGATCATGTCCAACGTCCAGCTCAACAGCAATTTCCTGGCCTTGGCCAGAGAGGTGCGTGTCCCAGCTGGGAAAAGAGCCCTGGGCTGCCTCCAGGTGTGGCTGCCTTGGCTGCTGGGCTCTGTGACAACATCTAGTAAGAGATACTTTATCCCTACAAGCCTGGCCAGGCACCTCTTGGAGACATTGCTGATGTAGGACAGCTTCCCTGGGGTGTGCTGGCCAGGAGGTAACCCCCTTCTCCCTTATCTCTGCAGTTGGATATCATGGAGCCCAAAGTGCCAGACGATATTTACAAAACCCACCTGGAAAATAACAGTAAGAGCTTGTGTCCTGGCCTCTGTTGTCCCTGCCCGTGGGGAATTCCTGGGACTGCAAGGCTTCTCTGGGCCAGGGAAGTCAGCTGTATCCTGAGGTGTGCAGATGGCCTGCCCCGGGGTCTCTGACCTGGTGTGGAGCAGACCCAGCTGCCTGCTGTGGATTTGGGCTTCTCCTTCCTGCTGGTGGTGGGACAGGTTGTTGTCCCCCTATAGTGCGAGATGTCTGTGTGGTGGAGGGCTGGCAGGGCTGCTCTGGCTGCCTGGCTCACCCTGACATCGTTCCCCAGGGTTCGGGGGGAGCGGTTCCCAAGTGGACTCAGCCCGGATGAATTTGGCCTCCTCCTTCGTGAACGGCTTTGTGAATGCTGCATTTGGACAGGACAAGCTGCTGACGGACGATGGCAATAAATGGTTGTACAAGAACAAGGACCACGGTGAGGGAGCTGGCTGGGCAGGGGCTTGGGGTCACTACCTTGTCCCTTTTGGGGGCCTGCTGAAAGTGGGGCTGCAGGGCACGGCTGCCACTGAGCTGCCCCGTGTCCCTGGCCACCACCTGCCCCAGGCAGGGCGCATCGATTCAGGGCTGATCTTGGCTCTTCTCCCCTGGAACTGCAGGGATGCTGAGTGCTGCAGCCTCCCTGGGCACGATACTGCTGTGGGATGTGGACGGGGGGCTCACACAAATCGACAAGTACCTGTATTCCTCAGAGGATTACATCAAGGTTGGTGGCACTGATCCTGGCACGGGCTCTACGGCTGTGTGGGGCAGCCCCTCTGCGGGCTGGGTGTGCAGTTGGCTCAGGGAATGGCTGACCTTGCCTTGGTCCGCTCTGCGGCTCAGTTCCTGGCTGGAGAGGGGTTGGATGCCCTGGTGCCAGGTTTTTGAGCAGCTAACAGCAAGGTGGGGAGCTCTTGGGGACTGCAAGAGGCACCCTTGGGGTCCCCTTGTCACAGAGCCACGAGCTTTGGACTCCTCAGCTGGATCCAGAGTGGTGTTGCTCACTTGGTACCAACTTGCTTGTCCCGGGGAGTGGGTGTAACGTGTGGAGTGATATTAGTCACTGGCTGGCAGGGAGCTTTGTGCATTGGTAGCTGGTGCATGACAGTGCTTCTGCCTTGCAGTCGGGAGCCCTCCTGGCCTGTGGCATTGTCAACTCAGGGGTGAGGAATGAGTGTGACCCTGCCCTGGCCCTCCTGTCCGACTATGTCCTCCACAACAGCAACACCATGAGGATCGGAGCCATTTTTGGGTAAGGGCCTGCTCCCAGCCTCCCTGTGCTGCGCAGGGGGGCGCAGCTCCCTCCTCACGCTCCCCTGGACTCTCCTCCGCAGGCTGGGGCTGGCATACGCGGGCTCCAACCGTGAGGACGTCCTGACACTGCTGCTACCTGTGATGGGAGACTCCAAGTCTAGCATGGAGGTAGGGAGCGAGACAGGGTTCATCTGGGGTTTCTGCTTCCCCACCTGGTCTCCAGCAGCTCCAGGGAATACAGGAGCTGTCCTGCCCCTGGTTTGGGCCAGGTTTGGGTTCTGAGAGCCAGGTTTGGGCTCTGAGAGCAAGGCTACATGTCTCAACTTGGTGCTGTGCTAGAAGAGCACCAGGGTCCCAGTTTTCCCCATCTGAGCTGCTCCCACGATGGGACTGCAGCAGATGTGGGAGGGTCGGAAGCCATCAGGTGTCCCAAGAGCCCAAATTTTCACACAAAGTGGGGACCAAGGGTACCCAGTGCTCTCTCGGGCTGGGCGGCCATCAGCCTGTGCAGGCCTGGCCCTGAGCTGTGGGTCAGCTCCCTCTGCACGGTCCTCATGTACAACGTCTCCTTCCCTCCTTCACCAGGTGGCTGGTGTGACTGCCCTGGCCTGTGGGATGATCTCAGTGGGCTCCTGCAACGGGGACGTTACCTCAACCATCCTCCAGACCATCATGGAGAAATCCGAGACGGAACTGAAGGACACGTATGCCCGATGGTTGCCGCTCGGCCTGGGCTTGAACCACTTGGGTAGGGCTGGGCAGCGCCAGTGGCTCACGAGTTGGGAGGCAGGGTGGGAGCATCCCTACACCATTGTCCTCTAACCACCATACCTTCCTCGGCAGGGAAGGGAGAGGCGATTGAGGCCATCTTGGCAGCGCTAGAGGTGGTGTCGGAGCCGTTCCGCAGCTTCGCCAACACGCTGGTGGACATCTGCGCCTATGCGGGTGAGTTGGG